TATATATATATATATATATATATATATATATATATATATATATATATAAAAATACATATTACATTGCGTCATCACTGGTATGCAAGTAAAAGTATTTATATTGCAACTATGCAGCTATATCTCACAAAGAGCTTCACAAAGAAAGAACAAAACACGTGATTAAAACAACATTAATCAGATAATGAAGATAAACACAAATATACAATTATATTAAAAACAAATCTAAGGGAAAATAATGTTTCCAATAGAGTGTCTTCAGCTGCTCAATGAGTCCAGACTCTCAAATCAATCTAAGAACTCAGGAAGCTCATTCCACTGAGGTACAACGGCGTGTTGGCAGTTTTATTTCTGTTCACACACACAGCAAAATCTAAACTGATATATGGACTACCTAAATGACTTTGTATGTCTGCTTGGTCCACCAACTGGCTGAGTAGCTTCCAGATGTTTCTAAGCATTAATATCATTGATATAAACATTCATTAAATGGTCATCAGCAAGAGTAAGCGTACAAATTTAGCCTTTTACTGATCTGGAACACTTGTGTGGTTTGAAACAATTACCATCTCATACTAACAGTCAAGCATGGTGGTGGAGGGTTGATGATGTGGGCTTGTTTTTCAGCCGCCCAATCAACCACAAACTCCTGCTGGAGCCAAAGGAGTTCTAGAGTCAAATATCAGGCTAGCAGTCCAGTAGCTGAAGCTCCAGTGGAAAATCAGCTTATTATTAGACAAAATAATACCATAAGTGTTTATTCAATTTGTTGATGTGGTTAAGAACTAGAATGTTGTTATAGTCTGATACATAAGAACTCAATTCATTGTAGTTTGTTAAATGCTTTGTTGTTTTTTTATTACCCCTTTTCTATCTAATATTCAATTAAAGTAATGTTCTTCTTAGACGGATTTAGAAAAAGCAACACAGTCTTTTATTAAATTACTGCATCATATAAACCGTATAAAAAAAAAGTGTCAGATCTAAAACACCTAGAAAAAGTTTCACATTCTTACCTTTCTCATAAACCTCCTTCAGGAGTCCTTTCTTGATGAGCTCCTCTCTGCTTTGGCGAGTAGACATTTTCCTCTCCAACACTGAGGAAACAAAAAAAACCATAATGTCAAAAAAAACAATCAAACTACAGCTGGAAGTGATACTATTGATGATTATAGCAGCAAATCATCAATAGTAAAATCAGATATTGACCTCCAACAGTCATAAATCTGCCCAACACAGCCTTGATTTGTACCTTCTCCATCCCACCATCAATTCTTACAAAAACACAGACAGAACTCCCGTCCCTTGCTCAAGGAAGAAACACCCCAATCAGACGGAGAAAAACGATGCCCCTGGCCGTCTCTTGTTCCAGACATTTCACACCGTAATGTGAATTGCTCCAGTGCACGCTGAAAGACAGGGCCTGAAGATGCCAACAGAAGATTAGGAGGTTCTCCAATCAGTCCTCTTCCTACCTAGATCATGCCCGTTAATGTTACAAACAGAGCCAATGGGCAGTCCTGGTGGAGTCCAGCCTGATGCTGATGTTGTGCAGATCTGCAGACATGGCTCTTGCTTTAGTTATTCAATGAACAGACGGTCCTTAAAGACAGGAACAGTTCTGTCCTCGGACTAAACTCTCCTCTTAGAAAACTCATGTCGTAAGAGCTAGTAAATACTTTCCAGGCCTCTTTTTCAGAAACCGGGAAAACCATCCCACTCTGCCATTCCTGAGGATTCCTGCTGAAGATGCACCATATCAGGCAAATTTTGTGATTGCCATAAATATTGCAGTGAAGCTTTCAGTGGTGAAATGTGCCTGTTATCTTTTTTTCCATCTCTTTCTCATGTTTACTTCCATCAGTCTGTAGACTCTTAGCATTTTGGGGCAATGCTGTTTGTGTCGGGTGTGAACATCTGCTGCTGTGAGACTCTGTCCAACTGGCTAAATATTACATTAGCATGAAAAATGAAAGCCGGTAATACTCAATATATTAGCCAGCAATTATCACACTCCAAGCAGTCCATTATTGTATCAATATTCATATAGCAATCGGTGTGTGTGATATGAATATCGCCCAGTTGTTGTAAAGTGTCTGAAACTGAACCGTTGAACAACTATTGTCCTTTTGATTCATCTTCTGCTCAAAAAATAATCTGCATCCACAGTGCAGTAATTTGGAACAGTAATGTAGCACACAGGTGAACCCATGTATTACTTTAGTATTATTTTAATCTACACTTTCCACATCGTAATATTCAGACAAGATCTTTTCATGTAGTAACTTTTATTCGATGTCGTCAGAAGGAAAAAAGAAAAAAAAAACGTACATTGTGTTGTGTTTTTAATGAATACTGCAACAAATTAAAAGGCATTAATCCATGGTGGACACAGCACGCAGCGACCTGTGTGTACAGATATGTGTTTAATTAGATGCACATTCTGTGTTTGGAGGCAGAGGAGCAGGTAGATGATAGATGAAAACTGATCTGCAGCGACAGCTGGGGGAGCAGCTTGACTGCCGTATGTTTGTTTCTCTCAGGGAGAACAGGATGTAAAGCTATTTATCCAGCTGAGAAGCAGCAACAGCGGCTGTTCCTGAATGCAAATCAACCTTTTTGTTTCTCAGGGTGAATATTGCAGCACATATGAGTCACTTCCTAGGATGTCTTCCTGATATGTTTGGAGATTCCCAAATATCAGAGCATTCATCTCATCCCTGCTGTATAGCACAGTGATGGAGGAGTGATGATATGGGCTTGGTTGTTTTGCCCTTTCAATTTACAGGTAATTGTGTTACAGTGTTTCATTGAGATCTGTGCAAGGTTAGACTTTTTTGACGAGTCTTAAGAAATAGGACAGCAGAACATAAAAATGTTTTCAAAACTTTATAAACTTTCAAAGGCTGCCAGAACTCAGTGATGGTTTGCTGGTTAAATCAGGTGCCGATAATTGAAAGCTGACCTGACCTTTGTGCTTTTGACAGTTTACACAACCACCATGACCCATCAGCAGAGTTCCTCTACAGCACTGACCTCAAAAACCACTCCACAGAGCTCTGTGGGTCTGTTGCTATTAGCAACATAAAGATATTCATCATTTGTTAATACACAGAGGGGAAAATAAGGCACTTATGGTTCACACTGCTTCAGCTCTGACCTGCAGAGGTCTGCTTGAACTTCTCACTCTTCTTCTTCCTCCATTTCCAGGGTTTAAACAGGCGTCCCAGAGTGGCAAACTTGCTCCGCCGGCGGATGGGAGGCGTGTGGGTTCCTGGTACCAGAGAATCAGAGCGCATCGATGCCAGCCGCTCCACTTCCTCTGCTGGAACAGCCAAATGAAAAGATAAAGTCAAAAACAAGCAGTTGGACAATACCTGCTGATTAAACTAACACAGGAAAGATGAGAGGGAGGAGGAAAAAAAAAAAGAAAAAATTTAGTCAAAAGAAGAAGTTTGGAAAGATTTGAGGAAAGGAAGGTTTCCGTCAATAGAGGCAGATAAAATAATTTGTGTTTCTGTAAACTTTTTCCAAACATAACACGTCATGTAGACGGCTTTTCTAATTCCAAAAGTTAACATTTTTCTTTCTGATGTTCCTCCCAAAAGTCAGAAAATAAAACTAAACACCAGCCATATAAAAACAGAATCAGTAGATCAGCCTTCAAAATCTCAGAGAGTTTTAGTTTCCTGCTTTAAGACAACTCACACCATGAAGGTCTTCATCTGCTTTTATAAATCTCAATAAACTCAGGTTATCTACAGGGGAGTTATATGTAATCGCTTTGCTTTTTGTTTTCATTCCAAACATAAAATAAAACATTCTTTTGGTTGCTTCTTCTAACAATGACCATTTTTAATACACAATTTGGAAAAACCAGATAATCCCACGTGTTAGCAGATATGGTCTTCATCAGCAGAAACTATTTGTAAGAAGGAAAAAGGTCATCAGAGGAAGTCTCGGTTAGCTGAAACCCCTCTGCTCCTCTGGGAAAGAATTTGTACACAGCAGGCATTTGAAACGACACATTTCCCATTAGATACAACAGCCTCTGCAGAGAAAGGACACGACCCGGGAGCTGGAAGCGAAGGATGGCAGAGGAACGTTTGAGAGGCGAGAGTGGATGTCAGCACACAAAGATGCACACACAAATAAACTCCTGACAGTTTATATGTTGATTCTGATCCATCTTGCTACAGTGACCCTGACCATTCATCAGAGACAAATGAAATTCAAATTGATATTTCCACCCCAAGCAGAATAATTACTGCTTTTAGCTGTGGACTGGAATCGGATAACTCCCTCAGGGTTGTGCTAAGATCCACTGAATTGTTTGCAGTGGGATTATTCCTGCTGCCGGCTGTCAGGCAACAATCAGTCAAACATCACTCATGGTTGTACATCTGATTTCTAAAATAATCAATAACTGGGAAACAACGAGAGCAGAATTTAAATGCTCTGATCAAACATTCCTTGAGATGCTTCCTGAATCCTGTGCTTTTTTTCCCCCCCAACAGATTTATCTGAGATGACGGCTCCAAACAGCAGAACAGCAACTAAAATCTGAACACGGTGTGGATGATGGAAAAACAAAGCGACTGTAAGCCAGTAAGCAGCTGCAGAGAAGGCAAACCCCGAGGCGAACTTGAAGCAAGAGGGACGTCAATTCAGATCTGGTTCTGGAGCAACGTAGCAAACATCTACAAGAGAACTTTGAGCAATGAACCATTCAGGAGTGAAAAGCCTCAAAACCAACAGGATCTCTAGGGCACAACGTTGGTACTGCTAGTCAGAAAAGGTTCAATTTATAAAATTTATTTGGTTGAAAATACTACTAATGCCCTGATTATTGTGATTAAAATGGTCCAATGTTCCCTCGAGCCATCTGAGAAGAGATAAGCAGGTCAAATACAAAAAAACATGTCATTTTACTTTGCTCAGTAAAAGAATCAAAATGAAAACTCCCACTTTTTTCCATCTGTAAAATGCATCAGCATGCTGCTTTGGTGCTCACTGTTTTGAGTTTACCAACACTCAGATAATGCTTAAAAAGCTTAATAATACATGGAAAACTCCAACCATAAAGAACATTAATCAGTATATGAGAGTAGAAGCTTGATTGATGCATCACTCATAAATAAATGTTAAAATAATATTTAACATCATCAGATAATCCCTGAAATCCTCTTTAACTGATCTACAATTGCTTTCTTTCAATATACCAAGTGCACTGTTTACCAACATAAGCCAGGATTTCTGGAAAATCCTACATCTGAATTACTTTAATTGGCAACAATAGTTTAAGCATGTTAAACATTAAATTTTGCATTGCATTTGACTGCTTTCTGTGTATCTCAAAAATGAGATGCTCGCTTATCAAAAGGGAAGAAATATAAAGAAAAGGTGAACTGAACTAGATGAGAGAACAAGCGCTGGTCGTTTGTCTTCCTCTTCCTTATAACATTGGAAATTGGATCTGGGAATGGAACCAGATCTAATGGAACAAAGTAAATTAAGTAAACCAACTAAAATCCTAACTTACTTCTATCTGCAACACAACTTGCAGTACCGTAAAAATCATTTTCACTCTTATAGATTATTTTTGTCACTTATATGTGTCAGATTGTCAAACTAATTGTCACAGTTAGTCAAAGTAAATAAAAAATGTGAGTGGCCACTCTGCCAAAACATCTAAAGCACTGCGTCCTTCACTTGAAACTGAAACCACCAGCAAAACATTTCCCTCTGAAAAAAGTGGAGCTTATTGGAAGGTGTGTGCTCGTGCTATATGTGATGTATAAAAGGGCTGCACAACAGCAATGTGTGTGTTTTTTTAAGCAAACATCTACAAGAGAAAAGTTGCATCTTTGATAAAGTAATAGCAACCTATAATTTGTCTAGCAGAAAAAACTCCCACAGGTCAGTGGGCACAAATTGACAACTGACGAGTAAGTCCCAACATTAAACAGAAGTGCAGCAGGTCTAGATGTAATAAAGATTCATACGCTGTTCTGCTTTTACAGGTGGACCAGGGAACAGAAAGTGGGAAGCAAAACTCAACACAAAACCAGAATCTTTGACAAGGTTTTATTGTAATTACAGATAAACAGAGGAGAAAGATTAGGGGGGTGGTGGACTCTAAAGAATAAAACCACACTGATTCAAACGCCTCACAGGAAGTTAAAAGCGGTATTTTTCCTCACCATCCACAGGCTCGGCTCCTTTACAGTTGCTGCAGATATGTTTGATTTCTTTGCCGATCTGGCATCGGATCATAAACGGAGAGATGTTGTTGTTTACAGCAGCTTCAGTCCGGTCCCCGCAAAGCCTGCGGGGCTTCATTTTGTCCAGACAGAATGTCCCCATCCTCTTCCCCGGCTTTTGCGTTTCATCACAGGGATTCGCCGCGCATGAAGTGTCAATCTGCGAACCGAGTCGGGACCACAAAGGCATCACGAAGCCTTCGCAGCCCGAACAGCCGAGAGGACTGGGAAGGGATTTCAAACGGTCTGCAGCTTCCTCCAATAGTAACAAGTTAACAATCATAAACTGAGATTTCCGGTTAGTTGAAGTACAAAGTAAAAGAGCCGGTAGCAGACTACAACAACAACAACACAAAACAAACACAACCACAGATAAACAAACCAAATTAAAACTCTGACAATAAAATAAAAATATAAAATATTTAAAAGGCAGTCAAAATGAACACATTCCTTACTGTGTCTTCAGTATGATAAATACACATACTGTATTCTTCCCTGAAATGGTTGTATAGTAATAAAATATATAAAACACATAAGTGACTCCACGTTGCTGTGTTAAATTGCATATTTTCTTAAATTCTAATATAATTTGGGCGCTACTCAGTGTCCTTAGCTTTATTTTAAAAGTCTTACGGTTTTGTTTCAACTTGAAGAGGCAATGCCCCTCTGTGGCCAGCACCCGCCCCCAACTCAATGAACCAATCGCAGAGCAGTTATTAGTACGGGTCAAGTAACTTGATCCAATAATTTTTGAGTATCTGAATATTGATGAAGTTTAAAAACTTCATCAATATTCAGAAGTGCAGCAGGTCTAGATGTAATAAAGATCTGTTGAAAAGCTAAAAATAATGTGCACTTTATGTACATTTTTAGAAAGTTAATCTGGCTTTTATGGACATACCTTGGATTTGAGTCCTATATTCCTATTTCTAATAACAACACAATATTTTTTTATCTTGGTTTTGCACTGTATATTATCTTTGTTGATGTTATCTTGTTTTAAATATATTGTTTTAACACTTAAATATTTTTTTTTTTTACTTTATATGTGGTGATGCTGTTAGTCTTCCCTTTGCTGGACAATATTTATTATATTCTAAATACTATTAAAGGAAAGTTTTAAGATGTGTAAGGATATAACTTTAAAAGTTATACATAGCCATAGAGAGAGAAAAACCTATGCAAATATTTAATGGATACAGGGAAAAGTTTCTTACAGTAAACTTATTTCTTTCTTTCTACTGGAAGCAGGTTCTGTCTTGTCTTGCCCTTCTGTACTTTGGCTGTAGTTATTGCTGCACAAAACTCAAATTAGTGTCTACGATGTGGATAGGATATAAACATAGCAAAAATGATAAAAACAAACTAAATGAAGCGTAAAGGTCTGTTAGACATAGTTACAATTTTCTGCCAGCAGGTGGAGCTCAGTTAAAATAAATAGGAGAAACTCATTGATTTGTCTGTCAGACTGAGCTGCAGGGTGCAGACTGCAGACAACCTCCAATCATTTCCTATACCTTTCATCTTTCAAACACAAGCTGTGGTGTACATGAAAAACACACATCACATGTATAAGTGATATTGTTCTGTGGCTACTTCATGCTGATTGTTATTTTCTTTGAAAGCTCGCACAGTATGCTTTGTATATTAAAAAAGGAAAACCAGTAACATACAATGTATTGCAGTGTGTAAAAACAAATACGGCTAAAAGTTGCAACAATCTCAATCATTAAGGCAAAGATAGAAATGTAGAAGGAGGAGATTTCTTAAGGGAGAAAGACACTTCAGAGTGCTTGAGGGAAGTGAATGTGGTCTGAATTCATAAGAAACAAAGAGCAATTGGTTGATTGCTTATTCGAAGGTCTCATTTTGAAGCAAAATGCAGCTCCTCCAGTCAAAAGGAGATTGTAAACCAGAGCAACATATCTTATGAGCTTGATCAATAAAGTCTTGCTCTCACCAGCAGGTCTATGCATTCTGCAAGGAAAGACTGACACTACTATATCTCATGAGAATCACACCTGTGTAAGAGCTACATTAGAGCTTCTGGAAATAAATCAGGCAAGTCATCAGAGTAAGACTCTGAAGATACTTGAGAGACTCTTAGAGATAAGGAGCCATTATGGTTCCTTCTATTTGGTCCTTGTTCTCCATCAAATCAGACCTTGTCCTCACTTTAGCTGAGTACTGTTAAAAGTCTTTCCTGGCACAGAAAGGTTTAGAGTGGCTGTGCTCAAATCAAAGGTTTGCCTGTTATCTTCAAACTCAAGGTTGGGCAGTTAGATTAGATTTGTTTATTACTTTATTTTCATGATTACATGAAAAACTGAAAGAAATCACTTTGATGCAAAAGAGCAGTGGTTTTAATGCCAACTACCCCTTGTTTACACAACTCCTCTATCTACCCTGAAGGGTGCCCACTGCCATGGAGGCAACTAATTTTATCCATTTCCTCTGGAAACATTTTTTTTTAGGTATGATCCATGTTTTGATCATTGGTGAGAGTCTGAATGTAGATATGCTGGTATGTTCACAGGTCCTGTTGTTAGTTCAGAGCCTTCTTCACCACAACAGACCAGTGCAGCGTCCACATAACTTTGGATGAGGTCCTAATCCATCTATCCATCTCCTGCTACATCCTGCCATTGACCCAGCACAGGGGACTGGATACATTCGAGAGAAAGGCTGACATCCAGTCTTGTGGAAGCTGTCTACTGTTTTCTGGCTCTACTTCCTTCTCCCGGTCAGGTCTGCCTATCACTGTAGACTTGGTTCATTGATCCTTGAATCACTCTTGTATGATTCCCTCTTTGAGATCAATTCTTCCATTTTTATAGAGGTATTCAAACTTATACTGCCACATAAAGCTAGCAATTCTCCAGAGGAGGGATCCTGCGGCATTGCTTTAATTCTGGTCTCCTTCAAATTACAAAGCCTATATTTTGTGGTCGGCAAGTAGTAACTGATTAGGCAATTTACAAATTATACCTGTTTCCCTCTGTTTTTCTTTAACTTATTGCATTCTCAAAATTCTCCTTTATGTTCTCTTGTTTTTAGCTGACACTGCACAATTTTAACAAGGTTTAGGACTGGGCAGCGAGATGGCCACTGAAGAAGGTTGATTTTGTGATTTTACACAATTTTAGCTGAGGTCCCAGTAAATATAGTGGACATTCTTTTCATAGCTAAGCCAGTTAAGGACAGAATAATATATAATATAATATATTTTTAAATTAATGATAACATGTTGGTCTAAAATAAGGGTGAAAATTAAACTGGTTGCTTAGTTAAAACTGTAGAGGCAAAGCATATTTTTTTCTTCAGCTTAATCTAGCTGTTGTTTTTTGTTTTTGTTTTTTTTTCTGCATAGTAATATAAATTACTCTCAATTAATGCAAGAGGTAGTAACTCCAATTACTTGCAAAACAAGTCATAGTTTTTCTTTTACTAATTAAATGCAAATACATAATACCGTACATATAACTAAAATATTTATGTGTAAACCTGTTAAATAGAAAAGTATTTCTCATTCACGTTGTAAAGATAAATAATCCATTGTCAACGTACTTTAAGTAAGCAGCAGCTGTAAATAAGTAGCTCTAATTAAGTTGTACTCCTGCACTGTGAATGTAGTAACTGTTTGTTGATGTGCATCCTCCCAGCCAGCATGTATAGT